TTAAAAGCTTTATAACGGGGTTACTTGGTGTGGAACACACAGGGGTACGAAGTGCCCGGAGAGCTAACAAACTCTCAGTACATAAGTTGGAGAGCTAACAAGGTCTCTCAGTACGTTGGCCGAAAGCCACACGTTATGCATTTGATTAGGTTTAACTATGCTATATAGTTAAACAGATACACTTACCCCTAGGCGGCTTGGCCGCAATTATAGTAAATAAAAGACTTCTGGTTTGGAAGCATTAAGTTGAGGTATTAACTTTGAGTCCTGGTCGTGGGCAGTACGTGTCCTTTGAAAAAGGAACTTAGTATTATTGACTCTTTGAGTCGAGCGTCTTCCTCTGACGCTAAAGCTACGGCAGCCCCGCAGCACAGACCAAGTTTTTTCGATGTCATGTAGCGGTGATGGCTGCCGAGCACCTCCGCTCAAAGTGTGCCCGACGCACTCGCAAGCAGTGTTTTCGCTACTCGAGTTGCTCAAGACGAGAGGAAGGTCATAACACCGCCGCCTCCTCCAAAGGCGACGCAGGGAAGTCGCCATGACCCGGTAGGGCGGCCGACAGGCTGCCATTTTTCGACTGTGATCCAGGAGCGAGACTGTCGCCATGTGTGCGTCACACAAGTGAGGAGTGGCAAAACACGAGCGTGGTTATGATGCTTACTTACTACTATTAGCTGTTTTCTTTCGCTTTTTGTTGGGAAAAGGAATGAGCGGGCCTCTGGATTTGCGTCGTGAATGGCTTCACAAATCGTGCGCAGTGTAGTGACAGCTCGCTCTGGGCATTGCCTTTCGGATGCTTTAAAGGCTTTAATCGTACCTTTGTCATTCCGATGTAGTAACGACGATCTGCTTGCTCTTGATTATCAGGTCGTTGCATGTCAACATTAGTAAAGACTTCTACACCAGCGGAAATGTGCCGCACAAAGACAGACCACTCGAAAACATCTTTCGGCTAGTTAAAGAGAAATCACAAGGATGCAAAGCCCGAAATGGATGATATTTAGCGGCTTGGTTGAACAACCACCGAAGGCGCCACACATTCAGCGCGTCCACTTCCGGAAACTTGAACTTCTCCGGCATCTTGTGGAATCGACCATCGAAAGGCTAATAGTGGGCACTATGTTGGGGAGGTCGTGGAGAGTTTGTATGCTCGACCGAGCCTTGTCGTTGTCACAACCCTGCCTCTTGTGGCAACGACCGGATCATTGTGCCAAGTGTCTCTCGGGTTATGGTCCCAAGTGCCGATGGATCTTACTTCCAGCAGTTTCCCAAAGCCAGTCATCAGAACGTCCGATAGTCTCTGTAGTACCTCTTCGTGTTTCCGAGTGCTGCGATAGCAGCTCGATATGGGGTGCAATTCCAGTAGGCCTCATCCAGCAATGTTGCACTATGCTGGGCATACTTTGCAGTTTGTCACTCACCTCGAGAATACAAAACACATACGACGAGAACAACGGATGCCGTCGAGATATTTTACTTCGTAAATAATCCGTGTGTCGAACGATTGACGCCAAGCAGAGAAATAATGAAGATCATTTTGCATACTGGGAAACATTAGAGAGATGAAGTCCAGTACAAACACATCGTTCGAATCCTTGAGGTGTGGCGCTAATGCAGCAAATTGCGCGCTGGTCCGTGGCATCCCAGTCACAACTCGCCCCAAATATTGATCCCCCGCAGTTTCGTACCGAAAATAACGATCTTGTACACCCCGAAGGACCAGCCACAACGCAAGCAATTACTCACAATTGAAGGACAGACTGTGCTTCCACTACGTGCGTACGTAGCAGCACCTTTTCTGATGGAATGTGTGCCGTAATCCTTTTCCCCAGTAATTGCTCGTAAAATTTTGCCGAGGACCTTGCAAAAGCGAGACTTCTTGTCAGAGCCAGGAAACCGTTTTTCAGGCACCAGAATAGGATTTGACGCTAGGTAGACACCGAGGGCAAGCACCCAGCAACATGATGGTCCAAGGGGCTTGCGTAAATATGCCAGGGGTCCTTGGGTCCACTTCCTTCGTGGTTTGTTTTTGTTTTGAGCAAGCCACATCCAATACTATCATCCGCACTGTGTAGATGTGAAGTGAGCAGAGTTTCCACTGATTTTCAGCGACGCATTAAGTTCCATTGCGACAGTAAAAACAGACGATCAAATCCGTTGTCATCAAGACCCAAAGTGCATTGAGCTAGCTGAATATACAGAAATTATGTAGGTGGTTCTTTGCCAGATTGCGCGCACATCCAGCTTGATCATTCTGCTTCTACCCGCTTCAGCCCTCTGGAAAATGTTGTGAGGTCATTTGGGTATTATAAAGGTAAGTCCAACCGCTTTTGTCGATAAATATTCTTCAGAGCGGTATTCACTTAGTGTAGAAACTTTGATGGTACCACTGTTCAGCCTATGAAGTAGGAATGTTTCGAAATGGGCAACCACATATACGTTAATATTTCCGTTCGCCTCGAAAAACTCATCAGGTGATTCCTGCGTTGCTCGAATCCAAGTGTCAATTCCCTTGATATAGCTACGCTAGGCTTTCTTGGTGTTAGGAGCAGTGCAAGCACCTCGGACTTGGTCAGCGTCGAGGCAACCAGGTAAAGCGGTGGTGAAAGCCGCTCGAGAAGCGACAGAAACTTGAGGTGTACTTGGAAGAGCTGGGGGATGGTCGTGGCTTGCCATAGCAATGACACAAAATCTTGTCTACACCTTTGCCCGGCCAAACTCGGATTGATCGACATGCAAAGTCGGAATATAACTCCGGGGATACGTTTGGTTACTTGTGTTTATTTAATTATATTGCGAGGTGTGCAAGCAAGGCCGATTTTGCCGCAAGCAAAGTCGGAGAGAGACCAGCTCATCTGCCATACTGCATATCCTCGAGGTCCCTAGCGGCAATGACAGCATCGCGATAGTGTAATTCCATCTGACCCACTAACGTGGGCGTCATACACCGCATGCTTGCTCGATCTGCCCGCTCCAAGAACTGCATTTGGCGCTCTCCGAGAGTGATTAGCTCGTCATTTTCATCGCGGTGCACTCCGCGACGTCTATCGCAAATTTGTTCTCGGTCAACAGCCAGTTCGCTCTTAATTCTTGACTTAAGGACGATGAAGCACCCCTCGACGGGGTTGCACATTGGCGAATAGGGGCCCAGCCGCAGGAGCTTCAGGTCTGCGTGCGCGACAACACGCTCTTCCGACTGACTATGAGCAGGCGCGTTGTCGAGCACGATCACGATCTTCTTGCCGCGGAAGTTCTCACGGAACGCCTCAGACTCTTTCACCTTTTGGTATACCTCTTCGGCAAATCCAGCGTTGCAATCCATCTGAATGCTAACTCGCTGGAGGCGGTGGTGCACAAGCCCGATGGTCGAATTTACAGCACATTGAATCTGCAGATTTGGCCCTTTAAACGGAGGCAAAACCACGACGGCTCGTGCTCCCTTCTTAGCACGACCGCGGGTTCGCATGCAGTAGACGTTGAAGTTTGTCTGGTCGTAGTACACTATGCAGTTGCCCTTGCGATGGTGCTTCAGGGGTGTTTTCGCGAGCTTCTGGCGCTTTGCCTTGTTAACGTCATTGTTGCAGGTTGAGGGCTCAATTCGCGCTTGCTTGACTGTGTATGTCAAGCCCCCTAAAGTACCGGCTAACCGTGGAGGTAGACAGCGAGATGCCAGTGTCGAAGGTCAGCATGCTCACCATCGTCTTCAACGTGAACGTGCAGTTCTCGTTCAGGTAGCTCTCCAAAATCGCCACGACTTCGTCTGTTACCTTAGTTGACTTTGCACGTGCGCCTCCATGCTTTACATCATTGGCACGATCACGCTTGACCAAGTCGTATGCTACCGACGATGGAAAGCCGTTGCTTGCCGCGACAATCTTCCAGTCAGGGCGACCAGCACGGTACGCGTCGAGCACTCGCAGGCGCTCCATTGGGGTGTGAGGTGACAGGCGGGCGGCTTGGCTGGGCATCTGGGGCCTTAGGAGACGCTTGGAAAGTGATCGTAGAAGCTGATCCACGCCACAAAGCCACCTAGCGTCCATTCATTTTGGCGCGCGCGGCTCTCGGTTTGGCGCGCTGGTATCTCTCCGACTTTGCTTGCGGCAAAATCGGCCTTGCTTGCGGCAAAATCGGCCTTGCTTGCACATTTCGCAATTTAATGTAATAAACACAAGTAACCAAACGTAACCCGAAGTTATATTCCGACTTTGCATGTCACTTAATCCGAGTTTGGGTGTAGAAGACTGTCAGTTTTGCATTGATTTAAAGCCAATCAAAGGGTCAGAATTACCGTAGCGATTTGGTCTTACAATTTTTTTGTCAAAACGCGCTGTCAGCTGCTGCTATTTGAATGGCTTGCTAGTTGCGCTTGTCTATCCAATTTTAAGAAATCATAGCTGATTCTGGCTACGCTGGCATACATTTTCCAATAGTTGTGTTACAGGAGTGGGAGAATGATCAGTGATATCTAATTACAGTCGTGCACCTCGTTTTCGGCCCCGGTATGGCTTAATAACCTGCACAATCTAATGATTGGGCCACATGCATTGCGCAAATGAGTTGCCCATCTCCTTTGGACCAAATAACCTCAAGGAGGGATGAAACGCCGCACTTCCGCCACGATGAATCAGCTTAATCACTTCACCACACAACAGCTCATTATAAATTTTGTCGCAATAGGCCATGGCACGTCGCCCGTCCGCCTATTCTACGTTGAATTTCGCCAATAAGCAAACATTGTGCAGGAAGGCAGCCAGGCCATCATGGACACTGTCTCTGTTTTACAAAGGCGAGACGTATACCCCTGTCAATATTTGTACAGCGATGAAGTGGTGCTCAGAAGGTTGGCAAGACGTATCGACAATGACCATACGAAACTGCTGGAATCACACTGGTATTGTGTCGAAGATGGATATATGATTTGTACTTAATTAAGGTAATACAAAGTAGTACCTTGGATTCCATCTGCTCCTCTATAAATATTCGCAGCTCGTAGACTCTATATGGTCCACCCCGCCGAATACGGGGTGCACCACTGTATTAATAATACGAAGTTTTTTCTGAATTCTTTTGTCAAATCTAAGTGAAAGCAGAGGACAATGTTTGGTTCGTCAATACCATCGGGATGGTGATGATGTACTGTTTTTAATTCACAGCACATACGGTATAGTAAGAAAGATGACGGAAATGGTACAAGTACTGTACCCCGTTACACGGAATACCTTACCTTACCTTTACCCCGTTACAAAAAGCAGGGGTTTAATTGTCATCTTTGGAGTGAATCAGTTACAACGGGATACAAATTTAAACAAGTTCAAACTGTTTTTGTGTTCTCCGAATAGATGTGACAGCTGTAAGAATGTACATGTACAGTACCGGTAGCGCACTGTGTATCATTTTTTATTCTGCAGGACCAAGACTCTTGTAGACTGCTGCTCACAATGCGAGCAAACGTGGTGCTAATACTATTGACTACCACCGCTCTACTAGTGGCTGCTACCACTGCTTCAGTCTTCCGAATGGGCGGCGAAGATAATGCTGTCCCAACGGCGATACTATCGACGACAAACGAAGCTGAAGAGAGAGCGCCTACTGGTTTGAACAAAATCCTGTCTCCATTCAAGGGTGCTACTGCGATGGTAGCAGACGCTGTCAAGTTGAGGTCTTGGCTGAGCAAAGACACACCTGTAGCTGATGTTCTCGTGGCGCTTAAGATAAGTGAGCGAGTGGATGACGCTCTTACCGACCCCAATTTGAAGACATTGAGCAAGTACGTCGACATGTTTAACGAGAAATACCCGAATAACCAAGTGTCGCTATTCGGAACGCTTGCGGGTCATTATGGCGATAATGTTGTTGCTACGGCGCTTGTAAACGCGAAACTGGCTGCGAGTACCAAAGCAGATCTACACCTTCGCCAATTTGAGCACTGGTTTACTACGGGTAAATCGGCTAAAGACGTTTTCAAGCTTCTCGAGATGGCTGACGACGGGCCTCGATCTCTGATAAGCTGTAAATTGACTACATTGGAAGACTACATTAAGTTCTCTCGCATCAAGAATCATCACGATTCAACGAATATCTTCAGAGTATTACGGAATGGCTTTGGTGGAGATAAAGATTTTGCTATTATGGTATCAAAGGCAATGGATATACCAGAAGCAAAGCTGAACGCCGGCATCTACCAGGACGCGTTATTCGAGCGATGGTTTAAGAGCAATATGGAACCACAAGACGTCCTCATGACAGTTTTTAAGATCGATGATGTGGCTACCTCCGGCGCTCGGGAACAATCTATCGTAAGCCAGTACAAGAAATACTACGAGTGGGAGCTGGGTATCGACCAGATTCCAAGCTTTGTAAGACCCAGGTACATTTAGCTACAGTACTACTGTACTCCTTCGAAAATTACTCCTGAAGTAAAATTTTACGATTTTCATATTTTCCTTTGAGTGTTGCTGCTAGCACGGAGCCGTTAAGCACCTTCTTTGATATTTTCGACCTTTACCCCATTTATGTACTGGTACACGCGCAGCTTAAATGTTAAGCTGCACCAATAAAATACCTGTACGCGTGTACGATGTCATCATCCAGATTCCCCGATCTAGCTTTTCTAGATTCTTCTTGACGGTAGCAGGACTGATTAAATTGCGCCTCCTGCAAGTTGGCCGCAAGTTTTTGCGTGGGATGCACATCCAGGCCCTTTGTACCCGCTATCAGTCTCGCTAGATTTCCTTCGTCGTAGTGTTTCAGCAACGTATTGATCATTGAGGCGTCCGCATTATTCTTTTTCAGCTTGGTCACGTATTTCGCCCACGTTAGGAACTCCTTGCTTCCGAAAATGAACTTTTTCTTGTGTTCAAGATTCAAGAGTTTGAAAGTGGCATCGGCTGATTTCTTTTGAGTGAGCCACAGCTTCAATTGAGTCTTCTTGGCACTGGATAAAATCCTGTGACCCCCCTCTCTTCCGTACTGACGACTTGGTCCGCTGCCTTGTCGGCTCTCAACTTCCTCTTGGAGACGAAGTCGCCAGCGATTTCAGCGGTGTATCTTGAATATACAACGTCTGGCACAGCCACAGACTCTGTGGTGGTCGGTTGAGAAGCCCCCGTAATCGCCAGGAGGGCCACAGCCACGATGAGATGTACCGGTGAGCGCATAGTTGCGTCACAAGAGGCTCCAATCCACAGACAGTGGTGTCCAGTGAACTCCAGTACGGACCTCCAGGCTGGAGGGGTTGATCAATGAGCCGCTGATGTGACACTCAGACCATTAACTGCATCTGCACACTATGCAGTACCGGTACACACTTCGCCTTCGAGATTTGTCACATCTTGAAACTCACTCTTGAGAGCCGATTCACTGAATCGGCTCAAAAAAGTGAGATGCAGTGGATTCACTGCATCTCCCTTTTTTTATCGTCAAGAGCAAGTTGTTTGAAGTCCATTTTATTGACTTGTCCACGCCAAGTCTTAGCTTGGTTTTATTTTTAAATAGCTCTACTAAGTAATACCGACATCGTTATGCCAACACCAATGAGGCCGTGTCAAAATCTTGGATTCAAAGCCTTAAAAACGTTTCCCCGCCGTCGCAAACTGGACAGACGAGAGGCGTACACGTACCGTTGTTGTACGTGAGCCAGTAGCCCGCGGATTGCGGGCCGCAAATCTGAATGATGTAGCTATGGTAGAGAAATTATTAGTACATGTTAGTACTTAAATTTCTATAATATTTACTCTAGCTTACAGTGCCAGAAAACAGAAAAGGACTATTATAAATGATGTACCCAAAAACGTGACCCAAAGGTCTCTCTATAGACCCTCACAGAATAGCAAAAAATGTTGCAGAGAACAGCGGACATGTATTGTATTTCACGCATCCATATTACTTTGCTTGGTGGCATAAGGTAGTGTAATACATCGATTACCCTAACTGAGGCGATAAATGCCCACTCTAGAGCAAGTGTATTAATAGCTGTTTATGAATGTGATCTCCGATGCGAATGAGACCAGCGGCTCTCCCATAGAACACGCCCGCTTTTAAGAAATAAGTTTCTAAATTAAAGAACAACTAATTTGACGAACTAGATTTATTCATTTCTAATTAGCTGACTTGGGTGGTGCGATCTCATGGCGGCGTCGCGACCTGGACCTGTCTGTGGCGCTGCGCTCGATGGTATTCGTGAACGAGACGGTATCGTTGCCGCCGAGGCAGTTGGTGTCTGTGGCTTTGGATCGCGCGTCTGCGTTGCTGGTCGGCGCTCTGGACGTGCAGAGCGTGAGCATGGCTAGCCTGGCAGTTCCTCGTTGGAGCGACTTCGTGCTGCTGCACCGCGTGAAGAACGGTGGTGAATGGCAAGTGTCGGGCGAGTTGCAGTCGAGCGATGCGAGGTGGCTGAAGACTGCGGAGGTGGTTCTGGCGCCGCGCACGGCCAAGTCTCAGGCTAGCCAAGTCTCAGGCTGTGACGGTGTAAACGAACGTGACACTGGTGGACGCGGTGTCGTCGCAATCCGTGGTGGTGGAGGTCTTTCACTTGGTCCGGAGCATACCGGACCCTCGGTCTCTGGTGTCGACTGCACTGCTGCAGCCGATCGTGGTGGAGAACCGGGAGGACGAGCCTGCGTTGGTTTCGATGGCGGACTTGGGCGCGTTGGTCCGCCAAAGCGACTGCAAAATGAGTTAAACTGTGTGGCAGAGGGGGCCGTAGCGGGCGTATTTTCAATTCGTATACTAAAACGAAGTGTAGTTGTTACGGGGTAGTGTTCAATTGGGCGGGAAAGCGGGCTTGTTTCCTGGTGAGTCTCGCGCCAAATCAATAAGTGTCAATAATGTGGTACACACATGTAACATTGTTTGTTCAGATTTAATTTTATTTTCAGATTTAGAATTAATCTGTCAGATTTAGAAAAGCGGGCGTGTTCTATGGGAGAGCCAGTCAGCAATTGTACACGACTCATAGTGTGACGAAGTCCTAGTACACATTTCGCTGAGCTAAAAGTAGCCATGAACGCTGTAAAAGCTAATGCATATTAAAATAGGGATATTATCGCAACACGTTCATCAACATTTACATTGTCAACCACTTTTACCGAGGCCGAGACACGCTTTCGAGCGCTGCTTAGTCCCGAGGACTAATGAACTCCTGAATCCAGGCATCTCCATCAAAAGTTCCGTTGAGCAGTTGCCGACAGAGTCACAGTTCGGCAAATGCTCAAGGTTCAAAGCGCTCACGAACCAAGCTTTCGCAGGGCAGAATGATGTTTTCGAGCTCGCACGTTTCGACTCCGCTTATTACTCATTACTTTATTATTGTTTTTTTTCCTCACTCATTTTTAGAATTTAGCTGTGTTAAACCACTTCTTTATAGCATTGCCGACAAATAAGAGTTAAAGTAGGGTTTCGAGCACTGGTACTGAAACTCTTATTTGTCGTTGCAGCAGGCCTGTCCTGCAGAGCCGCAAACTGTGGGCTTCAGTATGAAAGCAACAAAAGCCACGTGTCGTCCTTTTTGTTTCTACAAAGAGATTTAGCATGTTTCATGTCTCAGCTGGCATTAATCCTCTAAATGCTACGTCAATGTTGCTCACGACTCGTGAGTCACGAGGAAGATATTCGACGTCGCGACTGCAATGATTGGTGACTGGAGTCGATATTACTTAAGTATGCACCAGCATCAAGACGAACCACAATAGTTTTGCGGATTAATTTCAAGTGTGTAATTTTTATACGACCAGCTGAGTTACACGTGGCGGAGGGAGCAGCTATCATACATTTCCTTTCGGATAATGTTACTGTAGCACACAGAATACCTGACTGACATAGCTAGGACGGTAGCGAGAGGAGCGATCTCCTAATTTTCCTGGCAGCATGCTACCGACAATTTCAAATCCAATGTCTGATGCATGTCAAAATTTTACATAGGTACACTATAATAGAAACGTATCCTTTCGTTGGGCGTAGTTTCCGAGGCTTGAGGAGTGGCAAGACCAAACCTCGCTCATCATCAGGAGATACAGTTCGGGTTGTAGCTTGCTCCGCCGAGGAATCTAGTGATCGTTGTCGAGGTAAGCTCGGCGCGAACACAAGTGAGCAGCTCAGTTTACAAGTTTCCGACAACCGTTCAGCCTTCTTACCTTTTCCTTTCTTCCGATTACGACTTCTTCGTCAAGAGACCCGACGGGTGGCCTCGTCGGCATTTTGACAGCCCTATTATTCCTTCTGATCGCTCGCCCGGCGTACCGGAATCGGCCTCAGACACCGCTTTGACTGCCTGGGCGTCAGCGTCACGCAGTGTCGCGTGTTGGTGTGGCTACTTGCTGTGTTTGTAGTAAATTGACAGCTGAGTTAGTTAGATGTCGGAGAAGTCCTACGAGTAGTTGCTCCTAGCTCGCCTACAAGTGGTTGCTACCATTTCTCCTACAATCTACTTGAATGCCCGTACTTCAAGCATATGAATGCTGCACCTGTGGAAGTCCTGCTTCAACTTTCTCTGCCGATGCAGCTTGTATACATCCATGTACTCAATGGCTTCGCTCGCCATTGCATGCTGTTGGATAAGACAGTACGTCAGTGCTGTGCTTCATCACAGTCTCCTCCACGTTGATTCTTGCAGGGACGACCTCGACAAAGGTTGACCTTCTCGATGTATCGACCATTGTCAAGTGTCAACGTTCCTGTATCTTGCACGGCTAGGACCTCGTAGGGGCCGTCGAAAAGCGGCAGTGTCTTCCCTTGGACACCAGCGTCGCGACGGAGTAAAACCTTGTCTCCTGGTGTAATGGGCCCCTCCATTTTACAAAAGTAGGTGCATCAGCACACGACTAGCGTGTGCTGAAATGCTGTCATGCCATTGGCTGATATATGGGGAGCCAGACCCATTATTAGCCAATTGGACTATGACGTGTATTTGAGTGGCCAGGGCTGTGGCCTTGGTCCTAAAATAAAGTCAGAGTTGATTTTTCCTTAAACCTAAGACTCAGTCGTCCTATTGCGAGCTTCCTCAACACTATAGTGTAAGCAAGTAACGGAGTAAATACCTGGCCCGTTACACCTGGTAGCACTTTGTAGTCCTTCCAACGGCCAAGTTCGACATGAGCCAAGACCTCGATTACGCTGCCTTTCTCCATCTCACTCGGATCGAGTGGGAAGCTCTCCACCGCCTGTCCGGAGAAGCCGTCGTCACGTCGCTGCTGCGCTCAGCGACGCCCGACGAGCAGCGCGTTGCGGCACAAGAATTCATGGAACGCGAGCTCGCCGATGCGAATCGGCGAGTGTCAACTCCCTCGCGTATCTCCACGAATGACGTCGTGAAGCTAGAGACGTCCACCTACTCCGGTGCCGGAGAAGATCGACTTCCGCTGAATCGCTGGTTTCGAGAGATCGACATCGCCATCGCCTCGAGGTTGATCGAGGCGCCTTCCGCGAAGGTCCATTTCCTCCTCTCGCGGTTGTCTGGGAAAGCCAAGGAATGGGCTCTCGGCAAGTTGGTTGTCGATCCCAACGTCTTCCCCACTCTGGCCACCCTCCAGAGTGACCTTCGGCTCGCGTTCGAGCCGCCGCAAGATGAATCCCGAATTCGGGCAGACTTCTTCGCCCTTCGGTAAGGCACGATGACTATGCGCGACTACGTCCAGAAGACACGACACCTCGCGTCGTGCATCGTGTCTAAGCCGATCGATATGGCCTCTCAGGTTCATGTATTCGTGTTCGGTATGCGCGAAGGCATGACGCGCTACTGCCTTACAAGATCGGACCCCTCCACGCTCGAAGAGGCATTCGCCCTCGCCCTACGCGAGGACTACGTGGTCGCGGCGTCATACGCTCACGCGCTACCTGCTTCGGCTCGGGATTCTGCGCCCGAGCCCATGGACATCGACGCTATCGATGCGACGAGCAATCGTTAGCGTCATGTAATGCGTCGAAGCGGTGCTCGGAACAATCGTTCTCTCACCTGCTTCCGCTGTCGGAAGGTCGGTCATCGCGCGGCGGAGTGCCGCGCGCCAGCTCCAGTGCTTGCGCATGTCGATGCCGAGCCCGTGAGTTCTGACCAGCCAAAAAACGGTCAGGGTCAGTAGGTGCGGGGAGCCCTACTGGCTGGAATGGAGGTCCGGGTCCCCCGGTGGCAGCCCAACCTCCTAGCCCTCCTGTGCTGCATGCACACTTTCATGCCACCACCACGCCGAGCGATTCAAGATTGATCATTGTCAGTCTTCATGTCGCCGGTGCCCGGCGACCACTGCGAGCGCTCCTTAATTCAGGAGCGACCAACAACTCTTCCGCGCGTCGTGCTGGTC